TAATGGCTGTCTCCTAGCTCTCAAGATGTTTAATACATTTCTCCTTCAGTTGTGTTGCAGCTAAAATATGACCTGCTGCTGTTTAAATAACGTAATTTAATGATTTCACATTTTCAGCCACGCAAGGCTTTCTTTCAAGCACTGAAGCCTTTCACTAATGATTTGGGGAGATAGTTTGTTCTCTTTTCTTTCAGAACTCAAGACTGAGAAATTCTGACTTGGAAATAAATTATTGACATCCACTTTAGAAACAGTACAATTTGTAGCGGAAATAAAATACACAAAGTTTCAGTGCTATGAGTCTGGAATTTGTGACTTGTGATTCCTTTTGAGGTGCAAGTACCATCCAAGCTCCGTAATAGTGGAGAAGTCTAAAACACTGTTCTGTCATTGTTATGTGATGTAATTTATTTGGGCCCATCCTTAGCAGAGAGACTCCCAGATTGTTATTCACGGAGTGTGAGTAGCCAGTGGTGAGCTGGTAGACTACATGGTGGTAGTTTCTTCTCGTTTGTAACATGCATAAAGGATAGCTAAAACACTTTAACTTTTTAACTAAAACTGCTTTGGCTGTCATTCATGTGAATGAAAGGACAGGACAGACCTTTAGCAACTCCTTATCACTGGTATAGATTCCCAGTTCTCAGCCATTTCAACATGCATGCAAAAAGGCCAGACACATATATGAAAAAAACAACACAGAAGAAACTCAGCCCCAAAACAGTTATCCTCTGTTCAGATATACAGAAATGTTATACTTGGATAGAAAAAGCAGGTGGGCTTAATGAGAGAATGCCTTTCCATGAATATCACCTTCCAGATCATACGGAATACTCTGGCATTAAGCAACTACTAGTTCCTTGGAGAGATCCTTGAGAAGGAAAACTAAAATGAAGAAAAGAAAAATATCCCCCAAAACTTTAGAGAGATATGACCTGGAAAAGGAGCTGCAGAAACTGAAATTATTAAGCCCAGAGAAAAGTTTTCCAAAGAATTGAAAGAAGAATATTGATGAACACCTGTTTGGATGATAAAAGGAAAACTGGCAGAATGTTTTCTGTATCAGTCAGTAAAGATGGGCCAAGAAGCAATGGACTAAAAGTAAAAACGGAGAGAGGCAGACTGGCAACACATTGTCTTGTAGGGTGCCTGGCTCACTTTTTCCCTTCCCACAACTTCACAGTCACTAACACACACTAACGTGTGACACCTCCAAAATTCTTGCTGTTTAAAACACACTCCTGTGTTCCAGGTGAAACTCTAAGAAACGGTAACAGGTTTGTAACTGTGTCTGGGAACAGGGACAACAACTTCCCTGGATGGTGTTTAAACTTATATCTTTGGTATTTTTAGTGGATTCCAGTAAAAAGTTATGGTTGTTGATTTTAATGTTTTGTTCAAAGGACTGTTGGTGGAAAGTCAAAGTTCTACAGGTAAATCTGTGCTATGGCTGGAGATGTTTGTTTACTCTAAAGCTCTATTCTGCCACGAGCCCCTAGCATCTCTGTAAATTTTATTCTTTGCACATTCCTTGTGCATATTAAATTTGCTTAATATAAGCCAGTGAAAATGTATTTTTGTGCAAGTATTCACTGTGAGATGTTACACATTCATCTTCCTTCTGTTCACAAGCATTTGACTTATTTGCTCAGGGAGCAGAAATGGTATAGCAGTGTGTGTGACAAACGACATGCTGTAATGAACAGAGAATAATCAAACATATATCAAGAAAAGCAGTTTTCAAAGCTTACAATCTAAACCTATCTTCACTTACAGCAACAAAACTCCTATTGACTTAGTGGTGGATCAAGACTATATAGCGACTGAACAATTTAACACAAATACATTTGAAAAAAATACCTTATTTATAGGTAACTGGCAATCGAAGAGGTAATTTCACTGCATAAGTTATACTAGGTGAATAATTTCCATATCATTAATCTCTCAATTTTACCAGTGTCTTGAATTTTTAAAGGCACTTTTGTTTTCTCTTGTTTCAAATACTGAACCTATTTCCACTATGATTCTTATCAGTGAATGCTTTATTTTCTTGCCACAAGCAAGGTTCTTCATCGTTCTCTCCAATTACCCTGAGGTCTCAGGACACTGAGCCAGATCTGAAAGAAGAAAATCACTGTTAAGCAGCTATGTGGATCACATCAAATTTGGTCGGGTTACTCCCTTGATCAACATTTAGTATGAGTTCAAGTATTCTATGGCGTCAGAACTTTTCTGAATCGATACATTTTTTCGGAAGTCTTCAGGGTGTCGTTTGAATTACCCAGCTTGGAGAGTTTGGGACAAGCTTTAGAAGTTTAATGATGGGAGAAGAGCAAAACCAGAAAAGACCCAGCTCACAGAAGCTTCGGACTTCTATGCTTGACTGCTCTGGGAATTCAGGGACAGCAGAAGTGACAACAATGAGAGTACAGAAGATAGGTTAGAAAATAGCATGAAAACATGTCCCCCAGTCATCTAGGCTGGCTATGCTATGGTGAGGTTTAAGAGAGTTGGAAGCTGATGCATCTGGTTTGATTTCTCCCAAAGGGCATGAATTACTGAAACTGTGTGTTGATGCAAAGGTTTCTACAAGTATACCTATAAAAATGCTGGCTATAAAATGCACATTCTATGATGATTCTGGAAGCAGAGGTCAATTACGTTCAATGGAATTAATGCTATCCCACAGCTAAAGATGTTCTCTAGAAATACAGCATTCTCACCTGACTCTTACTTTCATTTACACATGCATAGGGTAATAGGCTATATAGGAAGCAACAAAAGCACACAGCATGATTCAGGGCTCTTAAGTACTACCTTGACAAAGTCACTTCATCTCATTGTCTATCAATCAGCTCCACCTCCAACTAAAGTGGGCAATGGGACTCCCTTTCTTCATTTCGATATTGCAAGTATAAATATAAGGTGTGTGAAGCACAGGGGTGGATGCTATGGAGAAGCCGCTAACTGAATTCATGGCTCTTTTTCTTTTTAAGTATTTTAAGGATGCCATGACTGCCTCCACAGAAGGGGAACTGCACCTGATGACCCAGCAAGTCCCTATCTGATCCTATGCTTCAAGTACAAGTAAGAATTATAGAGGAAGACTTTTCAACTGATCAGGTCATTGCTTGCAAAATTTATTTGGCGGTGGAGTTGCACATTTTAGCCAAGAATTATACACCCATGGCTAAACTAAAGAGCAAAGGTTGCCTGGGATTAAGCCAGCATTCCCCAGCTTCGCAACGCAATTAATGACGTAAGAACTGTACAAGCTTATGTTTATTTATAATACTACATACACAGCAACCATAACCTGGAACACTCCAGAGTGGAAGGATACGTTTTTATAATGCCTGTTTCTTCATTAAGATTTCATCACCCACCTAGGCTAAAAAGCCACTTCCCCTTCACTTTGTTATATCTGCTTTTACCCTCTCCTGTTCCTGCATTATTTTTTTAATCTCCAGTTCCCTACTTTACATGCACTCTCAAATTTTAAACAAGCAAAATTTGTGCATTAGTGTGTCCTTTTCATCTATGATTTATGAATGACAGGTTCTTGGTGCAGCTTAATGGTATGAGAGAGACATTATTTTAAACATTAAAGTGAAAACCATTTACAACTATGATAAGAGAGGTCTGTTGACATTAAACTTTAAAACATGCAGAAGGTAAAGGCAAGTAGCTGTTCCAACAGGTGAGAGTACTATGCATGTAGTTTGTAGGGAGTTTGTTCTACACATTAGCTGTCTCTTCCTTTTCTCTGTTTCACAACGTGTAGGATATGGTGCTTCAAACAATCCATTTAGTCAGCAGCAGCAACCAGAGTTTAATCACCTAAAAAGTACTCAGGGTGCATTTATAATATAGTATTTATATATACTATAGAGTGTATTCATTTAATAAAACTCCTATTTTGTCTGTGGAAAACTTTTCTTACCACTTACGTCAGCAAGAAATAAAGAATAAATTGAAAGAACAGAAGCTGTATTTTGATACTTCTTCCCCACACCGCTATCACTTTCACACTGGACAGTCACATCCTTACCTTACATCTATTAAAGCTGTTCTTGCAGTTCTATTGTGAGATTTTTGCTAACACTTATCTTCCTATATTTGGTTCAATTCATCTCAGTAGCAAGCTTACTTGGAGTAGTAAATAAATACATTTGTATTTTATATCATGCGCTTGGACTGAATACTGTGTTAGACACACTGACTGAACAGCAGAGAATATTAGGGAAAAACAGGTATATGGTATCTTACAGTACTATGTTTCAGCCTGATTTTAGACCATAAGGAGAATACAACACACACCTTAATGGAGACCTGTTGCAGACACAGTACAGATCAGGTAATGGGGAGGATACACAGATTAACTTTTTGCTACTCTAGTTTTGGAGTCATGCAACTCCTTCGATGACTTGGACCATCCTCAGAGGGTCCAGTGCACGGCAGAACGTTATGGTAAAGCTGACCTCACATAGGAGGAATGAGGATGCACACACTGAACATTAACGGCAGCTACCTGAGAAAGCTCTGATTTAATAATAACGAGTTTTTAAAAAATGACTTTGATGCACTATTCTGTTTTTAGTTGCCTCTATTCATTCAACATACCCTAATCAACAATGGTTAAACAGAATACCTGACTTGATGCTGCCATTTGAAATTTTAAAGTGAACTGTGAGTAGGGAACATTGATCACTGATGACAGAAGAGACTAATGAACCATTCAAGTACCTTACAGTACTGACCCATAGAATGTAAAAATCAACCCCTAATGCCTTTTAGTAAAAATGCAAATATCCTTTACCTATCTTGTGAGTATTCAAAAGCAATCCAAGTATTAACTTTCAATAAGTATCAAGAGGAGCAATGCAAAGGACAAAGGGATCAACCCGTTTAAAAGACAGAAGGACAGAAAGAGAGAGAGAGAAAGAAAGCAAAACAAGCAAGCAAAAGAATCCTTTAGAAAAATGCTAAACACTACTTACCTTGTAGATTTTGCAATGGCAAAGTCATAATGCCTCCGGCTGCAGCTGCTGCTACCAGCCCTTGGATGTTGGTGAGATTAGCTGTAGGTAGAGTTAGGACCAGTCCTTGTTGGCCACCCAGTTGCCCAGCCATATTGAACGGAATAAGGATGGGCTGATTGAGGGCTGGAGTGCCTCCTGGCATCACCCCTGCTACCGCTGAGGCTAACTGCTGGGCTGTCAGTAATGGCTGTAATGAAACACAGAGAGTAAGCCCATTTTTCTGTGCTTGGCTTCATATTACACGTCTGTACCTCTTCTGCTTGGGATCCTTTAGTGTTGTCGTACAGACACGCAATTTCAATGTACTGTTTCCAGTATCTCAAAGCATACACGTTCACCAACACAAAATGGTTTGACAAACTTGATACACTGAAGCTGTAAGCCTAACTGTCATGTAGCATGGCAGCAATTCCAGTTGAATCTAGAGTGGACAATTTATTACACATGCACCAAAGATATTTTATGAACACAAGAAGGCCTAATTCAAGCCAGTCTACAAGCTTATGCAAACATTTCCCAAATTTTCCCAGTTTTACATTGGTAAGAACCACAAACACTACAGTGACATTTGCCAGAAGCTATGCGGACTGTATGTAGACTGTACTGTGAAGTGGGTTACAACATCTAAGTATCTTCTCAGGGTATGGTGATATGGAAAATCTTTTAAAACTTTACACAGAGCCATACTATTATGCTCACATTTTGCTGTAAAGCAAATAAATACCTGGCATAAAAGATAATGAAATGCTTTTACTAATGCACGAGCTGTATGTGACATGCAGAATTGTCAGAGCCAATAACTCTGCATTAAAATTGCACTAGCTTTTTAATATTAAATCATGACCTGTATTTCAAAAATAACTTATATAAGAGGTTCAAATAATTTAACCTCCTAAATATGTCAAATTGCTCATACTTTATTTAGAAAAACATACAAAAAAGCTAATCTTTCTAAGCAAATACCTTTTAAAACATATACATGACACATGCATACTGCCTTTTTGTAACACCAAAATGCAGCCAAACAGCTTAGAATCACATTTTCTATATTACAGAGACAAACGATGGTTTTCATCAAATCATATGTTTCAATTAGTCTAAAGAAAAGATACTGACCTGGGGCCCAACAGGGAAGGCAGGATGGGACTGACTGGGTTGGTGTTGGTCAGCTGTGCTCGTATCAGACAGCACTGTGTTTCCTCTGGCCTCTAGAATTCAAAGAGAAAATCTACCTTAATATCAAGCCTGGGGACTGGCACATTACTTTCTACTCTGATGTCACATAACATCAAGCTGAAAATGATATGTTAAAGTGCTTTATCAATAACTCAAGCACTCAAATCACTTATCAGCTGCATAAATTATGCTAACATTCATTCAGACCAGCCAGCTCATTCAAGGAGATACAAAAATCTGACAGCACTGAAAGTGAAGCTATCATCAACCCAGCTAATTTGGGCTGCATTATACATCAATTTACATACAGTACATGAGCACTCCGCGTGTGTGGGAACCGCATTTTTTATGCTTAGGTGAGCATCAGCCATTCTAATTTCTGAAAGCAAAAATTATCTGAAAAACAATCAAGTCACAACTACTTTGTGTCTTAATAAAGTCTTTTCTTATGTCACTTACTGAAGCAGGAAAGGCTGCATCAAGCACAATAAAAGGCACTATGAAAACTGAAGATAAGTATTCCTCCAAATGACAGCTACTCTCCTTGTCTTCTAAATTGTATGGGGGGGGTGGGAGGGCAAAATTCTGCATAATCAAGGCTTTTCAGCGTTCATTGAGACGATCAATATCCATCGTGAACTATACGCTGGGCACTAATGACTTGCTAAGCACAGAATAAAACCCACCCCTACTGGATTTTGCTGAAGTCTGCAAAACAGATTTTAAAAAGAAAAACAAAGAAAAATACACTATTAGCTGCAAGAAAGCACCAAGTTGTTTTCAAACCCAAGTCCAGATCCTCCAGTCCCTCCTGGGGAAGGACTCACACTGATTCACAAACTTTTTCAACACTGAGAGCAAGATCAGGCCCACATTTATCTTTGAAGCTGAAAGAATGACAGTAAGCATCAAAAGTAGCTGCAAGAGTACGCCAGTCTTTTGAAAAAGAAAATCCTGGCTACAACTTCAGTTTTTCTGGTTAGTATGATAGCTTTTGCTCTGTTAGTTTTTTCTGATGCGTGGTTGAAATCCAATTCTAAGTAAATCTTAACTAGATCCTCTTCTCCAATGTTTGTCCTATGAATAGCAAGTGCAAGACAATTCAGAACTAGCTTATTGCATGCCATGGTTTGCTAGGGTAAAAGGATACGATTCTGTCATACTTATAAATTTTAAAGAGGGTATTATCAGCTCATTTAAAACAAATTCTTATATATATTCTCCAAGGGGACAGACTTATAAATAATGGAAATGTGAAAAAAAAATACTTCAGCACATTAAGGTACAAATAAAATTGACTGCTACATATTATTCAATTGACTTCTATCTCTACAGCAAAGTGTCAATCATAACAGCATTTTAGAATGGGATTAAACAATAAATGTGCAGAGCTATTATGCAGAAATCTGAAAATCTGATTAATTTGTAATATTTTTGTGTGCTCTCAGAAAGCCAGAGATGGACGTTGCTTTGGGAATGCTTACAAACGTTCTATTGAAATTTCTAAATTGATTTGGAACTAATAAAAACATACAGACTTGCTGACATTTTATAAAGTGAATTCCATCAAAATATGTTTGGCCTTTTATTGACTACTGTCATTTAATAATGAGAATAAGATGACCTATTATAATTGGTGAGGACTCCAACAATTGCCTAATAGCATGCAAGAAGAGACCCAGTCACTAAATTTTTTATGTGTGATTTACTCATCTGAGATACTTGAAAAGAAAGAAATGTAACTAGAGATGCAGGATTCAGTGAAAGCTCTTTCTTTCAAATATCTTACAATCCTAGCAGGATTGCTGCCATCGAACAGACCAAACCTAGGTGTTCTTCAGTACGGTTTCCTCTTATACAAAATATGGTCCTACATTACTAAACACAATTTTACCTTAGATAATTTCCACATATCATTACGTTATTTTTTAAATCTTATCACAGCTGTACGTATAATGTGACTATTAGAACAAAGATGCAACATCAATGAATATATCACTCCCCATTAAGATCAGCTCTTCTAAATAATTTTTTAAATGGAATTTTAAGAGCTGAGAATTTTGTCTTAGCGTATGATTTAGTTAATATTAAAATAAGCTCCTAATAATCCGTCACATCATTAAATTATCCTATGAAACGTTTGGGTGAAATGAAAAACAAGAGTGAAATACTAGAATTTGATTGTCCTGCAATTAATATAGTTTGATCTCTTAGCAAATAAATAAGAAGCTTCACAGAAATATGCCTGTGCTTTAGTATTTTTTCATGGTACAAGCTATCCTAAGAACCACTGTTTTCTGTTATCTGTACCCTAAGGATTTTGCAGTATTGCATCTTACAAGCTGTATGTTGTACAAGTGGGTTATGCAGGTCCATTAAACTGAAATTATTTACATCCCTTTCCTTTTACATTGTACTAATTGGAATCACTTTGGATTACATTCCTTTCATATGGTCACTGATTGAGGATGATATATCTTTTTATTCCAGTGTTTGAATGCTCTGCCTGCTTCTTCCAGCTCACTTTCTATGTGATGCAGGCATCTTAGCAAAATAGTACACAATTTCACATATATATGAATGTGGTCTTACATGGCACCCTATAAGAAATTATGCATGCTGTATCCTCAGAATCAAATTCTCACGTTTCCTCTCACGCCCATACCTATTTTTCTCACGCCCACTTACAAGGGGTACTTAGCCCCCTTCTAATCTACCTGCTATGACAGCCACTCAAGCATCAAGATTTTTTCAAAACTCGGAGGAAAATCTGCAGATTGCCAGCTGAGCTGGTAGTAAACACAGTGAAGCACAAATTTCAGCATTAAGTTCTATTGTGTCACGCACACTCACAGCATTTGTTCCTTGCCGTATGCTATCTTCAGCGAGAAGCATAGGTCAAAGCTCCCAGGAAGCCGAAGTACAACACAAAACGCTGGTAGAACACCACTTTTCCTCTTCTACCTAATCAAGTCACCTGGGTGGATTCTCTCACGTTTCGAAGATCCAAAAAGTTGAGAGCGCCATATGTTACATGTGCTATTTCTGATTCACAGGCTCATTTTTACTCATTTGGAAAAAGCCTTCATTAAGACCATTCTCCTAAATTGGCATCGCATGATCCCCTACATTTTTTCCCTCTCAGTTATACCACCTTTATTTGGGAGCTCATTAGTTCCAGATGCCGGAATGAACTTTGTAGGTAAATTATTCCACTGCCTGAATTCCATTCCTTACACAGAAAAAATGGGCCGTCAAAATCTAGCCTCAGTTTTCCCCTTGTCCAGATTCAGGTGATTACCTCCTGTTAGGCTATCTTCCAGTGCTGTAGCTAGGGGTATCACAGAGAGGGAACAGGCCTCAGCAACCTCTGTGGAGCTGGGGAGGTACCAGCACTACCTCCTCTACCCTCAAGCACGCTGTGGAAAGACTGTGCTCACACTATAGCTGTGACTCCTGGTTCATTTGGTGCGGAGAGAACTGTAGTTATGGGGCACCTACTCCGAAAATAGAAGTAAACCTCTTTAACACCTTTTCCCTGGGCATGGAGCCAAGACTTTCCTTGTAAGTGAGCGCTGCCATCATAGCCTAAGTCAAAGAGCTTGCCCGGTAGTACTATATGAATAGACAGGAGTGCTACTGCCATGGTACAGCCACGACTGTAGATAAGACTTTAATATTTAATAAGTAGCATTCATCATACGTGATTCATCATAAATTAATTATAAATTATATAACACATACATTCACCTCTCATCCCACCAAGGGGCTGGGAGGGCATGACACAATAAAAAATTGAAGTGCACTGTAAACATTGCAAAATAACCCTCCTAAAATAAAATATTATTTAAAAAACCTAAGTAATACAAAGGCAACCTCCTTCTTCTCCCCTTACCAAAAAAGCCCCCATCCAAAAAAATGAGCATAAAATCTTGCTTAATAGCACTTGGTTTGAAAAATGAGAAAACCACAAGAGAGGTAACAGACGGAAAAAAAAAATCACATCCCAAGGCCTCCTAGCCTCATATGAATCAATACTATAAATGCACTAATTATAAATAGGCTTTCCACAGTTTAGCTCATTATGGTACGTACATGCTTTCAGCAATATGACAGATTAATTCCCTTCTAAATGTCTTTATCTTACAGTGCCCCTTAAATGAGGGAATACTCTAATACGCACTTTGCAGGTGAGCAACTAATGGACAGAGGGGCTGAGATCCAGATCTTCCAATCAGCCTAATTTAGGCACCTTTATGTCTTCAGATATAGTTCCACCGTTCAGGAAAGTGTGGGTCAAAACACAAACAACCCGCACATGTACGCGCTGCCTGTCCCAGCGGTTCTTGCCACACACGATGTCTGACCCCTGCAGGGAACTTGCAGCTCATGGGCAACTGTGACCTCACTGAAAATACTTACAGGATATACAACGGCATGCCTTAAACACATACGTTCAGCTCTGACCTGGACCTCTTGCTTCATACATAGGTGCTGCCTGTGCCTGCATCAAGGGACATTGCACACTGGTGTCTCCTCCCAAACTCTGCTCCAAAAGCTAACCCAAAGCCAACGCTCCAGGGCGAGATGGAGTCTGAACCTGAGCGCAAGGTTGTGCCAGACATGAACCACAGCGTAGAACTTGCCTCAGCACATGATCTGGACATACATATCTTCTTCATGGGCTTCAAGAAGTGAATTCAACATTAACGAGCCTTAAGTTTGTATTAGAACCAGTGAGATACTGGGCAATCTCTCTTCAGCACTCAAAGATTTGGAAAACAAGCAGGATCAAATTTAATAATGCAGCTAACTACAATAATACTATTTTTTCACTGATCAAAAGAATAGCCAAATCTTTCTGAAACACCATTTAAAGTAAATATAATAAATGAATCAACATAAATAGAAGAAGCTAGGATTGCAAGTAACAGTTCATATTAAAATGCTTAGACACAGTTCTACAACGTGATCCATTAAATTAGTTGCATTTCTCTTTCAGTAACTGTAACAATAAGAAATCAAGACCAGA